GACTGGAATGACCAGTCGCTATAATGTGCACTGACCACCAGGGGGCAGATGCTCAATGCAGGAGCTGCCCCCTGGTGGTCATTGTGCTCCCACAGCCAACCTCCCCAGGCTGGCCAACCTCCCACAGTCCCTTCCCCCAACCCCCAGGCTGGGACAGGGAACTGGGGGTGAGTGGCGGTGGACTCAGCCCCTTTTCCAGGGGGGCTGAGGGCCAGCTCCCTCCTTGGGGCCCAGTGGTCACCCTCCTGTGCCCTGTCCCTGCCCCCAGCCAGCAGACCCTGATTGACCCGCCTGCTCACCTCGGTGGTGGTGTGGTGGCGAGGGAAGGAGGAGGGGGGAGGCGGGGAACAGCACAGTGGCGAGGAGCTGATGATTCGTGTCCAGCATCTGTTCCTTCCACGCCCGGCCAGGCGACCATCACCTCCTCTCCTGCCCGGCCCTGATCGGCCTGGCCCCAATTGTCCCTGATCGCCGACCAGGCCTAGGGACCCCACCTGTGCATGTATTTCGTGCACCGGGACTCTAGGTTTTAAATAAAAATTTAATGTAATTATTAAAAATGTATAGAGAAAAATCAGATATTTCATGGAAGAAGTTGAACAAAGATAGTTGTTTTAAAATTATAAAATCTTATTTTCTATCTTTCAGAAATGGATTAAACTACAAAAAATAACAAATTTTAGAATATTGATGCAAAAGGTATAATTTGTGATTTTATGAAATGAAAATTGTAACATTGCACTTTCTATTGCAGAAACATGGAGCATCTCTTGATAATTTTCATTTCATAGGTATGAGCTTAGGGGCTCATATTAGTGGATTTGTTGGAAAGATATTTCAAGGTCAACTTGGAAGAATAACAGGTAAAAATTTTTAAATAAAATTAATGTGATTGCATATATTTAAGCATCAGAAGTTACTTTATTTAAACTTTAATAGATATAATATTTAAGCCACCGAGCTCAAAAGGTTCGCCATCACTGGCCTAGACTTTTTACTCAGAATTTAAAATATATCAGAAATATATTCATATTTCATGGAACTTTTAATATACTTTTATTATGTGTGTGGTAAACTTTTCTGAGAAGTAAATGATAAATGCCATAATAATAATGCACAAATATTTATTTTTTCTATATTATATTCAAATGTTAGTATTTATTTTAGTTAGATTTAAAAGTCTTGTTTGGTTCTTAGATGAACATTTTACCCTTATAGTATTGAAAAGAATCAGATCAACTTCTGCAGCCCCATTTGAATTTTAAAAACACGTTATAACAATACAAAGAAAAAGTTGTTCCATTAAAAATAAAGCTTTTTTAACTGAAAATATAAAAATGTGCTATATTTAATTTCAGAAAATTTGATGTATTTAAATTCTTTTAAAAATTTTACTTGAACAATAGGAGAGTTGGGAGTTGGTATTTAAATTTAAGGGATTCCAGATCCTCTCATATTTTCATAACAAAGTTACCTCATCCAGTAAGCTTGATTACCAAATAATGCTGACATGGATTTTCATGCTTCCCTTTAGCAATGCTGGTGACATTTTTTAAAATTACAGATTTTTTTTGTACTGGAAGACTTCCATTTATGGTAGGGATGAATTGGCCATAAGGCCACAGAGCATGGCTGCATAGGTTGAGCTCTGTACATCTCTAGGATACGATGGAAATGGTGCTCCCTTGAGTTCTTGAGTCCACAACCACACAGCACAGCCACCCATCATGGGAGAATCAGGGCCATCGAGTCTTCCTACCTCTGAGGTGTAACCTAATTAGTGAGAGAATCTGAATTTGAACGCAGGGCTTCTTTTTCTCTGCTTGCCATCTTCTACAAGCATGTGTCAGTTTTCTGGGGACAGTGGCGGAAGTGGCTTAGCTAGGCAGGGCAACATGCTTCCACTCCGTTAGTGTAGAGTTGTTACTGGAAGGTGGTATCCAGTTTCTCTCCCCGCCTGTGATGCCTTCCAGCCAGTAAGGCCCCATTTCTCAGCACCAAGTGGTCTAGGGGTCCAAGTGGTTTTCCAGACCTCACAGTTGACCTAAATGCCAGTCAGTGAGTATTTCATTTTAATTTTTTATTATTTTTAATGTTTATTTTTCAATTACAATTATATAATTTTCAGGTATACAGTATAGTGGTTAGATGGCTATATAATTTCAAAGTGACTTCCTCCAATAATTCTAGTACTCACCTGCCTCTAGAATAATGGTGACTTGAGAACTGGTAGGATATTATCCCTCCCCAACCAGTTTAGCTTTTTAAGAGTTAAGGAGATTTATGTCTATAGAAGATTTTTAATAATTTCAAGTGTAAATAAAAGGTAATAGAGTTTTTAGGGAAGTTAAGCAAAGGGGGAGAGGAGTGGATAACTAGTACAGATTGTTAGGATGTTTACAAGCCTTTATTATACCTTCCTTACCTTGATCAGTTTTAGTGTCATTCTCATTATACAGATGTGAAAACTGAGGTTAATTGAATGAATGTGAAAGTGTTAAAAAGTTAGCAACAGCTAAACCAGAATTTACACGAAGATCTCTAGCAGCCAAAGCCCATATTATTTTTCAATCGCCATGCTAACTCAGTTTCAACTGGTGGTAAACCTACTTTATTTTAAGGTGTGTTTACTCACATATTAGTCCAATTTAAAAGGTTATACATGTCAAGCAATTATGAAAGTTTACAAGTCCAGGAAATGTGGTGCTTCTACATCAGAATCACTTATAGGAAGAGAGAATTTTCTGCCTTATTCAGTAAGTGGGCTAAATAAACAAGAATAATAGAAGGGCCTGAGATAATCAACATTATATTTTACTTTAAAAATCTCTTTTTAAGATGATGTGTCTTCCATTGTGTATATCTTATCAAGGCATTGATTTTTATCTCCTCCCTCCTTTTTTTGGCACTATCCAGAAGATCATGAGCCTAGACCAGTGATGGCGAACTTATGACACGCGTGTCAGAGGTGACACGCAAACTCATTTTTTTGGTTGATTCTTTTTTAATAAATGGCATTGAAATATATAAAATAAATATAAAAATATAAATCTTTGTTTTACTATGGTTGCAAATATCAAAAAATTTCTATATGTGACACAGCATCAAAGTTAAGTTAGGGTTTTTCAAAATGCTGACACACTGAGCTCAAAAGGTCCGCCATCACTGGCCTAAACTTTTTACTCAGAATTTAAAATATATCAGAAATGTATTCATATTTCATGGAACTTTTAATATATTTTTATTATGTGTGTGGTAAACTTTTGTGAGAAGTAAATGATAAATTTTTATTTAAATATAAAACAGTAAAAAATGTATTTTATCCCACAGCCCAAATTACATCTGATGCCTAACACTATTTTAGACCTATAGATAGATCCAGGATGAACTAATAATGTGCAGGACTGGGATTGATTTTTCCCCCTTCAGAAGTTGTAGTAGTTATTTATTATTAAAGTTCTACCATTTTTTCCTAATTACTTCTTAAATAAAATTGCTAAAACCTACAATATTTTGTTGAGGCACCTCTAGTGATACTTAATACTGTATTGTTGATAAACTCTGAAAATTGATAAAAAGTATCCTATATAATAAAACCCTAATATGCAAATAAACCAAATGGTGGAATGACCAGTCGCTATGACAAGTACTGACCACCAGGGGGCAAACGCTCAAGGCAGGAGCTGTCCCCTGTGGTCAGTGGAAGTGCCGCTCAGTCAGAGGCTGGGCTTATGGCTGGTGAGCCCAGCAGCAGTGGTGGGAGCCTCTCCCGTCTCTGCTACAGGTAGGCGGTAATTAGAGAGGAGTCCAAGACTGCGAGAGCCCTGGACTGCGAAAGGGGTATCTGACTGCTGGTTTAGGCCCAATCCCCTAACCTGGCAGGCGGACATCCCCCTAGGTGTCCCGGACTTCGAGAAGGCACAGGCCTACGAATTTCATGCACTGGGCCTCTAGTTATTAACATAGTAAAGATACTTGCTATTCATCCAATTTTATTTATCTTTAAATTTGTTTTTAGACAGGTTTAAGCTAAAACTATACAGGTTTATATTTATGATGTAATAATAATGCAAGCATATGATCTGGTGAACATTATAGTAGAACTTGAGTAATAGATTTATAGTTTCTTTGTTGAATTTCAGGACTTGACCCTGCTGGGCCAAAATTCTCTGGAAAACCATCAAATGACAGATTACATTACACTGATGCAAAGTTTGTGGATGTCATCCATTCTGATACTAATGGTAACAATGCAGGATTTATTGATTAATTATTTGAAAATAAAAAAAGGTATGTAGACACTTAGAAAGGAGAACCTAAGAAGAGAAAGAGTAGGAGATAAAGTGATGATACATCTGTAACTATGTGTAGTGACTGTATTTTCCACAAGCTGTATTTTTTGGAGTTAGTGAAATCCTGTGGTGTCTATTGGCACTCTTTGCCTTCAGTGTCCCTCCTTCAGGTTTCAAGAACTATCATTTCATCCAAAAAAATATTAAAAATTATAAAAAATATTTCATCTTGATTATTCTATTGAGATATCCATGAATGAGTGAGATCATGTGGTATTTTTCCTTCATTGACTGGCTTATTTCACTTAGCATAATGCTCTCCAGCTCCATCCATGCCGTTGCAAATTGTAAGAGTTCCTTCTTTTTTACAGCAGCATAGTATTCCATCGTGTAGATGTACCACAGTTTTCTAATCCATTCATCTACTGATGGGCACTTAGGCTGTTTCCAGATCTTAGCTATGGTGAATTGTGCTGCTATGAACATATGGGTGCATATATCCTTTCTGATTGGTGTTTCTGGTTTCTTGGGATATATTCCTAGAAGTGGGATCACAGGGTCAAATGGGAGTTCCATTTCCAGTTTTTTGAGGAAACTCCATACTGTCTTCCATAGTGGCTGCACCAGTCTGCATTCCCACCAGCAGTGCACAAGTGTTCCTTTTTCTCCACATCCTCTCCAGCACTTGTCGTTTGTTGATTTGTTGATGATAGCCATTCTGACAGGTGTGAGATGGTACCTCATTGTTGTTTTGATTTGCATCTCTCGGATGATTAGTGACTTTGAGCATGTTTTCATATGTCTCTTGGCTTTCTGAATGTCCTCTTTTGAAAGGTGTCTATTTAGATCCTTTGCCCATTTTTTGATTGGATTGTTTATCTTCTTTTTGTTAAGTTGTATGAGTTCCCTATAAATTTTGGAGATTAGGCCCTTATCAGATATGACGTTGGCAAATATGTTTTCCCACGCAGTGGGTTTTCTTGTTGTTTTGTTGATGGTTTCTTTTGCTGTGCAGAAGCTTTTTATTTTGATGTAGTCCCATTTGTTCATTTTCTCTTTAGTTTCAACTGCCCTAGGAGCTGTATCAGTGAAGAAATTGCTTTGGCATATGTCTGAGATTTTGTTGCCTTTGGATTCTTCTAGAATTTTTATGGTTTCCTGTCGTACATTTAAGTCCTTTATCCATTTTGAGTTTATTCTTGTGTATGGTGTAAGTTGGTGGTCTAGTTTCATTTTCTTGCATATATCTGTCCAATTTTCCCAACACCATTTATTGAAGAGACTATCTTGGCTCCATTGTATGTTCTTGCCTCCTTTGTCAAATATTAATTGAGCATATTGGTTCGGGCTAATTTCTGGACTCTCTATTCTATTCCACTGATCTATATGTCTGTTCTTGTGCCAGTACCAGGCAGTTTTGAGAACAGTGGCTTTGTAATACAGCTTGATATCTGGCATTGAGATCCCACCTACTTTGTTCTTTCTCAGGATCGCTGCAGCTATTCGGGGTCTTTTTTTATTCCAGATGAATTTTTGGAGAGTTCGTTCTAGATCTTTGAAGTAGGCCATTGGTATTTTAATGGGAAGTGCGTTGAATTTATAGATTGCTTTGGGTAGTATGGACATTTTAATGATGTTGATTCTACCAATCCAAGAACATGGTATGTTCTTCCATCTCTTTATGTCTTCCTCTATCTCTTTTTTCAACGTCCTGTAGTTTTCTGAGTAGAGGTCTTTTACCTCTTTAGTTAAGTTTATTCCTAGGTATCTTAATTTTTTTGGTGCGATGGTAAATGGGATTGTTTTTATAATCTCTCTTTCTGAAAGTTCACTATTGGTGTATAGAAATGCCTCAGATTTCTTGGGGTTAATTTTGTATCCTGCTACATTGCCAAATTCATGTATTAAGTCTAGTAGTTTTTTGATGGAGTCTCTAGGGTTTTGTATGTATAATATCATGTCGTCTGCAAATAAGGACAGTTTTACTTCCTCTTTTCCAATTTGGATGCCTTTTATTTCTTCTTCTTGTCTAATTGCAATGGCTAATACTTCCAGGACTATGTTGAAGAGGAGTGGTGAGAGTGGGCATCCCTGTCTTGTTCCTGTTCTTAGGGGAAATGGTGTTAGTTTTTGTCCATTGAGTATGATGTTGGCTGTGGGCCTGTCATATATGGCTTTTATTATGTTGAGGTATGATCCTTCTATTCCCACCTTGCTGAGAGTTTTTATCAAAAATGGGTGTTGGATTTTGTCGAATGCTTTTTCTGCATCAATTGATATGACCATGTGGTTTTTTTCTTTCAATTTGTTTATGTGATGTATTACGTTTATTGATTTACGGATGTTGTACCATCCTTGCATTCCTGGGATAAATCCTACTTGGTCATGGTGTATGATCTTTCTGATGTACTGTTGGATCCGATTTGCTAAGATTTTGTTGAGGATTTTGGCATCTATGTTCATGAGGGATATTGGCCTGTAATTCTCTTTCATTGTGTTGTCTTTACCTGGTTTTGGTATTAGGGTGATGCTGGCTTCATAGAATGAGCTTGGAAGTGTTCCTTCCTCCTGAATTTTTTGTAGTAGTCTGAGGAGGATAGGTTTTAGTTCTTCCTTGAAAGTTTGGTAAAACTCCCCTGAGAAGCCATCTGGTCCTGGGCTTTTGTTTGCTGGGAGCTTTTTGATGACTGCTTCAATTTCTTCCATAGTTATTGGCCTATTGAGATTTTTAGATTCTTCCTGATTGAGTTTTGGAATGTTGTATTTTCCTAGGAATTTGTCCATTTCCTCCAGGTTGTCTAGTTTGTTGGAGTAGAGCTGTCCATAGTATTGTTTAACAATCATTTGTATTTCTGTGGGGTCTGTTGTTATTTCGCCTCTATCGTTTCTGATTTGGTTTATTTGGGTCCTCTCTCTTTGCTTCTTGGTGAGCCTGGCTAGAGGTTTGTCGATCTTGTTTATCCTTTCAAAGAACCAGCTCTTGGTTTCATTGATTTTCTGTATTGTTTTTTTGGTCTCTATGTCATTTATTTCTGCTCTAATCTTTATTATCTCCTTCCTTCTGCTCACTCTGGGGTTTTCTTGTTGCTCTCTTTCTAATTCTTTGAGTTGTAGAGTTAGATGATTTACTACCATTTTTTCTTGTTTTTTGAGGTAGGCCTGTAGAGCTATAAACTTCCCTCTCAGGACTGCTTTCATTGTGTCCCATAGGTTTTGGATTGTTGTGTTTTCATTGTCATTAGTGTCCAGGATGTTTTTAATTTCTTCTTTGATGTCATTGGTAACCCAATCAATATTTAATAACATGCTATTCAGCTTCCAAGTGTTTGAGTATTTTGGGTTGTTTTTATTGTAGTTTATTTCTAACATTATGCCATCGTGGTCTGAGAAGAAGCTTTTTATGATTTCAATCTTCTTGAATTTGTGGAGACTTTGCTTGTGACCCAATATGTGGTCTATTTTTGAATATGTCCCATGAGCACCTGAGAGGAATGTATATTCCATGGCTTTGGGGTGAAGTGTTCTGAAGATGTCAATTAAGTCCATCTGATCTAGTGAGTCATTTAGGATTGCTGTTTCTTTGCTGATTGTTTGTCTAGCGGGCTTATCCAGTGGTGTCAGTGGTGTATTAAAGTCCCCTACTATGATTGTATTGTTGTCGATCTCTCCTTTGATATCTTCCAGGAGTTTTTTTATGAATTTGGGTGCTCCTGCATTGGGTGCATATATGTTTACCAGGGTTATATCTTCTTGTTGTATTGATCCCTTTAGTATTATGAAGTGGCCTTCCTTATCTCTGGTTATGGCCTTCACTTTGAGATGTATTTTGTCCGATATAAGTATTGCTACCCCAGCTTTCTTTTCCTTTCCATTTGCGTGAAAGATATTTTTCCATCCCTTCACTTTCAGTCTGTGTGAGTCCCTTCTAATGAGGTGGGTCTCTTGTAGACAGCAGATGTATGGGTCATGTTTTTTTATCCATTCAGCCACTCGATGTCTTTTGGTTGGAGCATTTAGTCCGTTTACATTTAAAGTTATTATTGAAAGGTACTTGTTTGTAGCCATTTCTTTTTTTGTGTGTGTGGCTGTTTTCTTTCTGAGCTTTTTATTTCTTCTTTTTACACCAGTCCCTTTAGCATTTCTTGCATGGCTGGCTTGGTGGTGATAAACTCCCTTAGCCTTTTTTTGTCTGTGAAGCTTCTTATTTCCCCTTCAATTTTGAATGATAGCCTTGCTGGATAGAGTATTCTTGGGTTCAGTCCTTTGCTTTGCATCACTTTGTAAATTTCTGTCCATTCTTTTCTGGCCTGATGTGTTTCTGTTGAGAAATCATTTGATAATCTAATGGGAGATCCCTTGTATGTAACTTTCCGTCTCTCTCTTGCAGCCTGTAAGATTCTCTCTTTGTCCTGAACATTTGCCATGGTAATTATGATGTGTCTTGGTGTGGGTCTTTTCGGATTCACCTTGTTTGGGACTCTCTGGGCTTGTGTGACTTTTTTCTTCCCCACCTCAGGGAAGTTTTCTGATATTATTTCTTCGAATAGGTTTTCTAATCCATGTTCATCTTTCTGTTGTTCTGGCACCCCTATTATTCGTATGTTGTTTCGTTTCATGTTGTCCCAAAGCTCCCTTAGGCTCTCCTCCTGTCTTTTAATTTTTTTCTCCAATTGCAGTACAGTTTGAGTGTGTTTTGCTTCCTTGTCTTCTAATTCACTAATTCGGTCCTCCGCTTCTCCCAGTCTACTGTTGATACTTTCAATGGTGTTTTTTATTGCAGCTATGTCGCTCTTCATTTCTTCTTGGGACTTACTTAAGTTGTTGATTTTTTCATCTGTTTCTTCTTGCTTCTTCCACATCCGGTGCATGTACTCTAGGGCCCTTATTCTGAATTCTTTTTCTGTCATGTTGCATGCCTCTGTATCACTTAACTGCTTTTCTGGCGAGTCCTC